TGGGATGTAAGATGTGTACTTGTTAAACTTTTCTTGAAATAACACAGGCAGTGTTCTTACTCAAGAGACGTGGTATAGTAATTCTTGGACTAAAAGCCTACTAATTCAAGTGATGACAAAACTGGGATGTAAGATGTATACTTGTTAAAGTTTTCTTGAAATAACACAGGCAAGGTGACAGAGTAGGGTATAGGTCATTCTCAGATGACATTATTGTTTGGTGTTGAGCTCAGTATCATTGACACTTAATATTCCTGATTTGGAACATTCCTGAAATTCATTTGAGACTATCTCACATTTCAAAAGTATTACCAAACTAATCACAGTTTCTGTTCAAAAAAGAACTAAAGGGTGCAGTTAATCCCTGAAGCCCTATAAATGTCCTAAAGTTCAGTTATATGCCATTTCTTTCTCTGCCACCTCCCTTTTTTTTTCTTGGATGTTTCACATGGACCTTAAAGAGATTTCAACAGTAATAATAACAGCTTACAGTTCTGAGCATGTTCCAAATGCTTTTACATAGATTCTCCTTCAAACCTTGGAATAAGCCATTTCACAGAGGAGGAAACTGGAGCTCAGAGGTTACATAGGAAGGAAGTGCTGGTGCTTGAGATAAGGCGGGCAGGGCAGGAGGCCTTCTAGGAGATGACCATTAAGTTGAGATAGCCCTGTGATGATCCAGGGGCACTGCAGATACAAAGGCCCTCAGGTGAAAATAATCCTGTTGCATCTGAGAAACAGAAAAGGGTTTGGCTGAAGTGTGGTGAACCCAGGAGGATGAGTGGATTTGAGATGGCTGTCTTTCTCGATGGAATGCTGGCTTCTGAGCACAAGGCTGTCATCTGCAGTCAGTGCTGTACCCACAGTGCTTAGCAGGCTGCCTAGCACATGGTAGGTGCTCCATGTGTTTGGATAAGTCTAGATGAAAGGTTGGGGCCAGTTTGTTGGGGACAGGCCACCTGAACCATGACCCTAAAACCAGGTGTGCCTCCACCTGTCACTTGTGGCCTCTTGACAAGCAGTCATTCTGGTCCATCAAGGCCATGTGTCTCATTCTCCAGACAACCTGTAGCAGAGTAGAAGCTGCCATTAAGCCTGAAGGTCCTTGTCCTTGATAAGGGTTGGGAGACGTCGAGACCTGTGGGATTCCCCTCAGTGGACTCTTGAGGATGGTCCTTAAGGAGCCTGAGTCCCGGCATGCGGGATCTTAGTTGCAGCATACGGGATCTAGTTGCCTGACTAGGGATTGAACCTGGGCCCCCTGCATTTGGAGCACAGAGTCTTAGCCACTGGACCACCAGGGAAGTCCCCAAACAGCTTTTTAAAGTTGATCTTTTGGAAGAGGACAGGGGAAGAGAGATTCTCTCCTTGAGAGCATCTGGATATTCACAGGGCCAACCCCTCCCTGGCCCCCTTCCTATGTTACTCTTAAGCCCAGAGACGAATACAGTATGGCCTCAACCAGGAGCCGTTCCTGTCCCCAGATTCTCATTGGAAAATGATCTGTAGCCTGTTGGGTCTTTAGAGTGGTTTTTACTAAGTCATTTGACATCTGTGGTGTGAGGTAGGATGCTTGAGGTAGAAATCAGATTGGCTTCAGGAGCATGAAAGCCAGACCTAAGGTGGAACCCTGCCTCCATGGCCTGCATGCTGTGTGCCTTTGGCCAAGATGTGCCCAGCTTCTCTGTCTCCCCCACTCCTACTTATAAAGGCATCTGTCCTCTGCTCTACCTCTTCCTCATGGCCCTTAGTTCTCTTTTTACATAGTTATTCCCAGCAAGCTTTTATTCAAAATCCTGTTCTGCCATTATATAGACTCTGGCTTAAAATAGTATATCTGGTGTGACATGTTTATTTATAATATTGCTCATATGCAGCCTCTATTTAGTAATGTTACTGAATGCACCTTTATTGAATGGTTGAAATAAGTGACACAGAAGGTTGCTGTTTGTGTTATTGGGAGACCTTCCAGTGTGTTTTTTTGCACTTCCTTTTCAGTACCACTGAAGGACAAGAAGCTCCTGGAAGTCAAACTAGGGGAGCTGCCAAGCTGGATACTGATGCGGGATTTCACCCCTAAAGGCATTGCTGGAGCATTTCAAAGAGGTCAGAGCCTTATGGGCATGTGTAAATAAAAGCACATCTCTGCGTCTTCAGGGCAAACAGGTCATCTTTGCCCTGAATTACTTTGGCCAGTCCACGCCTTGTCTCAGACCAGTAAGTTATGTAGAGAAGGACAGGGCGAGATGTTAGCCCTCGCATTTCCATGTTTGATCGGTCCTATCAAAGGCTGGCTCTGAGATATTTCAGACAAGGAAATGTTTTCTATTGCTTGGAATCGGTACCAGTACCTCTGTCTTAAAGAAATGTCATAAGACTTAAGAGGAAAACGAGTTGGAAGCACAGGGGACATGAGTCTATAATGCTCATCTCCCTGCCAGGCAGAACTTTCAAGATGAGTATTTGAAATGGTCTATCCTTCAGGTCTGTGCATTTTAAAGTGCAGAGCAGTCCTGTGTCATCATGTCATCATCCTTTGGGAGCCTGCGTGGTTGCCAGCCTCCTCAGGGGCCCCCCGTCTTTTTGTTTTTCTCTATATAATTCTGGCTACCCTGTGGCTCTTTTGTGTACTGTTTCTTCCTGCCCCCAGGCCTTTCCTCAGCTTTGCCCTCCCCTATTAGAACGTGTAGAATGTGCCCTCAGAGGAGTGGCCTCCTCTCCGCTTTGCAGGTTACTACCGGTATTACAACAAGTACATCAACGTGAAGAAAGGGAGCATCGCTGGGCTTTCTATGGTGCTTGCAGCTTATGTGCTTTTCAACTACTGCCGTTCTTACAAGGAACTCAGTGAGTCTCTTCTGGGTTGGTTTGCCTTCATTGGGGCTTCCCATGACAGTGTGGTATTGGTTCACTTTCAACCTTAGAAGTCCATCACCCTGCAGACAAGCTGATGACTTGGAGGGACTTTTCAGAATATAGCGTATTTTAAATGCAAAAATTGTGGCAAATAGAAAGGAAAAATAAGATGAAGCTGGGGTAAAGGTAATACTTAGGCAGCATTCTATCAGCCACTGCAGGCTCTGCCAAAGGTTGGTGGAAAACTTGGCTTTATCTTCCTAGCAGCCAGTGTGAAGAGGGAAATAGGTTGAGTGCTACAGTCCAGTGCCTGTGTGGTGCTCTGGAAAAGTGTGGCTGTTCCTGATGCTGAGACATGAGAGGAGTTGGTCTGTTGGGAGATGTTTGGTGGCCGCTGAGTGGGCTTCATGGGCTGTTTCTGCCAGTGTCAAGCCGCCTGCCAGTCTGTGGCATCCAGAGCAGTGCTGGCCCTGAAGGGTGGGCGCTTGGGTGCTGTTTTTCTGAGTGGGTGTTCCCTCAGGGAAGGAAGAGGCTGGCCAGGTGGCAGATTAGCTGTAAATTCCACAAGTAGGTTCTGGGTCATCTCCTGAAAGGAATTCTCAGGATGGCTTCACCCCCACCTGTGAAGAAACTTACCATTTTGCCTTTCTAACTTCAGAACACGAGCGGCTACGCAAGTACCACTGAAGAGGGCGCACTCTGCATTCCTGACCATGACCGTTGCCTGGCACCCCTGAATCCTTTTATATCCTAGTGGAGAATTAACACCCAATAAAAGATGACTGGTATGCAGACTGCCTCACTGGTTCAGCCATTTCCCTGCCTTATAGGAGCTCCTGTTGCACAAGGTGGGGTGGGGTCATTCTGCAGCTCCTAGACAGCCCAGGGCTTTGAACCGTGGAGCTTCAAGATCTTGTCCCAGTGTGCTGGGGGGTCACCTAGAGCCTCCGCCAACAGTGCCGAGGTGTTTTCCTGCTCTGTGCCTCATTTTTGGCCTTTTGTCAGCTGACACTTTCACAATATAAAGCAGAAACCCTCGTTCCTAAAAACGCCCTCCCCTTCCCCATCTTTCTGCACCATCCTGGGGTATTGGGGTATCAGGGAATTGGGACGTGTGGGACTCCCTAGTCCTGGTAAGTAAGCTTCACTTGCAGGAAGCTCAATGGGATGATGGAGGCGGGAAGGGAAAGCACGGACCCTGATAGGAGCTCTCAACTGCTGTATCCAGCACCCTCTTTATCCTTCACCAAGGCCTTCAGTAATGTGATAATTAAGGTCAGAATCAGTTTCTTATTAGGGGGTCTGCGATAAGCATATATACTTCATGGAGTATAGGCTAATTATCTCCTGCAAGATGTGAATTTGAAGCAACAAGTATTCAACATCAGAAATAAAGGACACCTGCCAGGTGGCTGGCCCAAAGGCCAGGCTTCCATACTGTACAGGCTGCCAGTACAAAGGCCTTTTCTTCCTCTGACAGCATCACTTCCAGTGAGACACATTCACCAAAAGTGGAAAAGCGAGCACCAATGTCAAAGCTTTGTGCCAGGCAGCTAATGCAGCCAGTTGCAAGAATCCTCTTGGCATGGAGTCCCCGAAGTAATGAGACAGAGCTTAAAAAACAAGCTTTAATCAACTTCATAAAAATTGTTCTTGTAATTGAACTTGAATAGGCCCACTTGTCCAGCAGGTTGCAGGTGCCAGTTTCATATTTCCAGGCTCAGAGGCAGGGTCTTCTCTTCTAGGCCAAAGGTGTCTGACAGTACAGATGCTTGATGGGGCAGGAGGTAGGTGCACAGATGGACTGCAACGTCTATTTCAAGGGTGTTTGCAGCCCCAGCTTAAGGTATACCTTAAACACTGTTGAGCAAGTGCCCCAAGAAAATAAACCCAGAGGAAAAAGGCCATCACACTCAGAGCCCTACATGGTCCTCTCAACTGCTGCCACCCTGGAGCGGGACCGGCAGAGGCAACTCCACACTTGTTTGCTCTGAAGGGCTGTCTCGTTCAAATCACATGGATAGGCACGGCCTCTGATTCAGCAGGACAGGGCGGG